TGAGAGACGAACGGTGCAGTAGCTGTTTAATCTGGTGATTTGTGGCACAGAGTGGTAAAATTAAGATCTGAATCGCAGTGAATCCACATTAACATACAAGCTTCCTGTCCCACAGGGTGATTAAGAAGATGTGGAAATCAGATCAGCGTGAATTAATGTAAATTGTTGAACAGTTATGCTTGGTGTGTTTTCTGTGTTTGCAGCAGTGTGAAAGAGACTAAGCAGCAGATCATAATCAAGCAGAACAACATTTAGACATTTTCTGCAACAGCACACAAACACAGGAATGTTCAGTCTGAGCTGCCGCAGCTTCATCGACTGCACATAAAGCTGCACATAAAAGAATCAAAGGAAATTCTTCAGCTGATTTTAAACTCAAACTCTGAACATCACCTGATCCTGACTAGGCGATGCCTTCAGCACCAGTTACTGTGGTGATTTAGCAGGTAAATTTCTTAGCTCAACACAAAGTGTGTAGGCAAATGTTTTTCAGGAGATAAGTTCTCACCTGTTGTGTCTGCGCTCCTCTCTGAGGAGGATGAGGAGTTCTTCATCATGTTGTTCAGATCTTCCTCCACCTCACGCCCTCTCCTCTCCCTAGGCTCAGGCCCCAATTGATGCTCTCTGTGCAGTTTGGGCGGGTGGGTAGTACACAGCCCCATTGAGTGAGGGGCATAGGGGTTGGTTGGCAGGCCAGCGTAGGGCATGGCTTGATGAAAAGTCACCTGGGCTCCATTTAGCTCCACTGATTGCCGTCTCACCTGTGTGTAAGCCCCATCCTTTTCCACACTGGTGACAGAGCCGATGTAGGTCTCTCTGATTGGTTCAGTCCGCAGGTTAAGGTGCTGTCTGTTTAGGCTCCCCCTCTTGTCAGTTCCAGGTGAGTGTTGCCAGAGATTGACTCCGCATCTTATTCCTCTCTCACAGGTGTGATTCTGACCTGCTCTGCTCACCACTGTTCGCCCCCTTGGCTGCTTGCCGACCGCGTGCCCTGCCTCCGCCGTGCCATTGATGTACAGGTTCAAGTCTGGTTTGGACATCACCACACCAACTCCGCAGTTCCCCGTCTCTCTCTTCTGCCGCTGTCGCTCCAGGTAACGAGATTCCGCCTCCTTTTCCGTCTCATCCTCAAACCGCAGACGACGAGTCGGAGATGCTGCTGGCCGCTGCCTGGCCGACGCGGTGTTGGGCTTGCTGCTGGATGAGCCTCCTGAGAGAGGAGCCACACCCCCTGACTGCACCTGATCACATTGCCTCAACCCCAGGCTGAAATAGTGAGACATGTAAAAACTGATTCTTAATGGTTTTAGAGAGAAGGTTAAAAATAAAACTGTAATCTACAAAATCAGATTTGTCAGTGAAGCCTTTATTTAGTATTTATCGATTTTTTTTGTTTCATCATAAAACAATTTTTTTTGCCTTATTTTTTTTTTAAATAATTTATTATTTTTGTGAAGAAAAATATATTTTAAAAATAACTTCTTTAGTGTTTTGATTTCAGTGTTTGTTTAACCCATTTCTAGTTTTTCCCATTATCTGGTAAAACAAGATTCAGGTGTTTGTCACTAAAGGTAACGGTGACCAGTCAGCTGCTCTGCAGTTAATTTAATCACCAAGTCATAATGATGTAATTAAGAGCACAGAACTAAAGAACAGCTTCTTCATAAAACTGTTTGACCTTCGTTAGTCAACGTGTGTGTGTTACTTATGGTGTGTGTGTGTGTGTGTGTGTGTGTGTGTGTGTGTGTGTGTGTGTGTGTGTGTGTGTGTTACTCACGGCATGTATGCATGTGTGTATTACTCACAGTGTGTGTGTGTCAGGGGTCAGCAGGCTGTGGTCTCCTCTCAGAGGAAAACAACGACGCTTCATACGAACTCCGTCCTCACACTGCTGCTGCCGCGGCAACCGGTCAACCACAAAGAGGCTGAACACATACACACACGAGGAGGGGTGAAGAGCGAGGATGACATCAGGTGCTCTGATTGGTCAGAGGGACAGAGGAAGGAGGATTACCAGGAGCAGCTGGTCAGGATTAATTAAACTGACGAGCCCACAGACTGTTTACATCAGCACAGTGTGTTTGACCCACTCTGTGGGGACATTTCTGCTTTTTCAGACTTTTGGCCCTCATTATTTTCCAACAGGACAGTAGAGAAGGTTTTGTGCTTTAACAAAAATTAGTTTCCTTCATGTTGTCCTGAAACATGTACAGGTGTGCTGTTCCACCTGTTCTCATGTCATGATCAAGTAATAATCGTGTACTTGTAGCACTGATAGTACTTTTTTATACTTTTAGTTCCTGAGTGTTCATTTGTGAAATGTTGTCAGCCGTCAATACACCTGAGCAGGTAGGGTAGACTGCTGACAGCTGATGTAAATTCACAGTTTTCGGGTTATCTCTACCAGCATGACACACAGCAGAGTCATAACTCTGCAAGAGGCAGGGTTTTTGGTTATCATGGTAACTTCAGGTTTAACTCTATGGTTTCAGGGCTACTAGGGATGCCACCACCTGTTCCCAAGAATTGTTGTATATAGTTTTAAAATACACACACACACAGTCTACTCCTAGACAGGCCACTTCTCCTGTTCATCTCCCAGGGGTAGATGTTAAAAAGTTGTATTTTACCTAGAGATAAAAGCTACTTTTTATTAAGATGTTTTACAATCATATTGTACATGAACAATATCAATAAACAGCTATTCTATTCTATTATTTAGGCTAAAAGCATTTCTGAACTTGTTCAGATCATTTATTCTGTGACTATAAAGCTAAAAGTACATGTCTTACAGACACAAAACCCTGGATCACATCTAATTTCCTGCTTGCCATGGACATTTCTCATATCCATGGCAAATTCAGATAAAACTGAGGTTATTGTGGTTGGCCCTAAAAATAGAAATATGGTATCTACTCTGGATGGCATTACCTTGGCCTCCAGCGACACTGTGTGGAATTTTGGTGTCGTTTTTGACCAGGATATGCCCTTTAATATGCACATTATACAAATATTTATGACTGCTTTCTTCCATTTGCACAATAGCTCTAAAATTAGAAACATCTTGGCTCAGAGTAATACTGAAAAACTTGTTTATGCATTTATTACTTCCAGGCTGGACTAGTGTAATTTGTTATTGTCAGAATGTCCTAAAAACTCTATGAAAAGCATTCAGTTGGTTTAAAATGCTTCAGCAAGAGTACTGACAGGGACTAGAAACAAATGGCATTTTACTCCCATACTGGCTCTTCACTGGCTGCCTGTTAAATCCAGAATGGATTTAAAATTTAAAATCATTCTCTTCACATACAAGGTCTTGAATAATCAGGCCCATTATTTTATCTTAAAGACTTTATAGTACCATATCACCCCAATACAGCACGTCACTCTCAGACTGCTGGTTTCCCATGATGCAGTGAGCACTTCTCCTGCTCTTACCTCTTTTAACTCACCATGTGCTTTATACACTACTCTCCATTTAACTACGAGTTATCGATCATGTCTTGCTCTCTTCCATAGCATGCCTTTTGTCCTGTCTACGTTCCCTCACCCCCAAGTGGTTGCGGTAGACGGCAGCCCCTCCCAGAGCATGGTTCTGCTGGAGGAGATTTTTGGGGTTTCTCTGTATTATGGGAATGTGTTTAGCCTACAATATTAAATGCTTTGAGTCAACTGTTGTTGTGATTTGGTGCTATATATATATAAAACTAACTTGAATTGAAGTGATGTTAAATATCAACCAAAATAATATATTTATCTGAGCACTAAATCAGATAAAGGTCTGAGAAATCAGACAATACTTTAAGTAAGGCCCATGTTGGACGATAGATAACAACAAATAAAACTATATTTTAAATTTAGACATGGGTAAGTGTCAGGCTTTCAAATGAATTAAAATTCTGTCTGGGTCTTTGGTGGATCAATAAGCTGGAGGAAAAGATTGCAGCCTGCCACACCCTCTCATCGTCCTGTGTTAAGAGGATTCTGACAGTTAACTCAGGGGTGTTGATTTATTTAAACTATTATAATCATCCTACTGTAACCAGGTTTCTGTAATCAATCAGTGTCTTGATCAATTATTAATTCAAGTAGTAACAAGGATAGAGAATATAGAGACCTAATGTTGGTTCACTGACTGATTGAAACTGAAATTCACTGTGCAAAGGGTTTGAGTCCAGAAAAGTGAACCGGCCAGCCACTGTAACTGTCTGTAAAGGCATGTTAGGTTCAAATGTGGTTCCTTTTCTTTACAGATAACCACAACACCAAAGAAAAGATAAAACGGATTCAATGAAAGCGCAATAAAATAAAATCATCATGGTTTTATCAGTCTAGAAACGAGAACGCTTGTTGAGATATTTAATTTGTGTACTCAAGTTGTGAAATGTGTTGGACTGCATTCGTGTTATTGTTTGACTGAGACGCAGTATTTTAGTTGTCACCACAAGGGGGCACAGTTTATCCGTGAAGGCACGTATGCTGCCTCATCACGCCCCTGAGGCGGCAAACGTGTCGTCACGTATGCTGCCAAATGAGCGGGTGGAACTCAGGAATGTTCGCTTTGAAAGACAGGATGTAATGTGTGTCAGTGTATAAATAAAGTTTCCAAAGAGCTTAAGGATATTCTTTTGAGATTTGAACTCGTCCAAGATTTTTGTAGCGACACCTGCGGTGTCGAATTAAAACTCCAACATGCTCTTGAGTTATCGCATTCACAAACCTCGGTGTCCACGCTGGCCTCCCAGCAGGGGGATGGTCGTACCCCATCAGCCTTTTATGGTTGAGGGGTAAAAATGTGCGGTTCTTAAAATGGAAGTTTAATTATGCAAAATATTCATATTTGCTTTCAGGTGAGTAAAAACCTGAATTATTTATCATTTGTTTAGAATGTTTGTTTAAATAACGCCTCCCGTGCTCTAAGTTTTATTTTTACTTGTGTTAAATATTTTTGGAGAAAAACAGGTGTTTCTAAATAGAGCCTGTCCCTACATCTCCCACAGTGCACCGCGCCCGGACGTGACGTATCGGTCTCGGACGTGACGTAGAGTGTACGGCGGTGGCCGGTGTGTGTGTGGATGATGGCGGCTCCTCTGGAGGTCCTGCTGAGCAGCGATTCGGGGTCCCAGCTGTGGAACTGCACCGTGTTCGACCCGCACAGCGGCTCCAGTCTGCTCTCGTACCGCGGCGGGAACAGCGGCGCGCGCAGCCTCACGGTGCTCGGCGGGGAGTACCTGCTGTCCGCGCAGCTCGGCAAGAACTTCATCAACGTGTGGGAGCTGCAGAGAAAGGTAGGACAGCACCTGGCCCAGCTGAGCCCACCTCGCTCACTAGGCGAGAGTCACGAAAGTAACGCTCCGCCGCTCAGCGCGGACAGGGGCTCAGAAACCCGCAGTCCCTCTAAAGGTGTAAACAAAGCGTTTAGAAAGCTGACACTTTAATTCTGTGAAAAAGAAAAAGTAGAGCCGTTGTCAGAACCACTCGAACCCCCTACCGAATCCCGTTTATCTGTCCTCACACCTTACCTGTGTGATGGCTGCAGCTCAGCGTTAAAGAAGCTGATTCGTGAGTCCACGTGTTTTCGCACAGACTGCTGTGTTAGTACACACAGATCTTGTTGAGACATCCTACAGATGTGCAGTTTCTCTGTGAAGCATTCTACCTTGAAAGCCTGCTGCTCAAATGTAACATGGACACACCTGGTGGTACAGCAGGTACGCAGAGCCGTTTTCAGAGTGTTGAGGGTGTGCTGCAGGTCACTGTGGTGATGGTCGCTGATCACCTGTTGTTTGAACCTTGCTGACCTGTGTCTGACTTTCCCTTGAAGGTTCCATCACCTCAGTTTGATATCTGAATTTGGAAGCAGAAAATTAGAGGTCATCCAGGTCTTTATCTTTAAGACAGTCCTGCAGTTTAACTACTTGGTGTGTGTTATCAGGCTTCATGGATTGGATAGTATCGAACACTGCACTGAGGTATAGCAGGACAAGCAGAAAGATGAGTCCACTGTCAGAGGCCATAAGACGATCATTTGTAACCTTCACTAAAGCTGTTTTTGTGCTGTGATGAGCTCTGAAACCTGATTGAAACTTCAAATAAGCCATTTCTCTGCAGATGATCAGAGATGTTTGACAACTACTTTTTTTAAGTGTTTTTGATATGAAAGGAAGGTTGGAGATTGGCCTATAGTTAGCTAAGACCACTGGGTCATGTTCCACAAAATGCATCAACTAAGCCCCATGTCCTCCTATCAGAGGAGCAGCTGTGCTGGTGCTTGGAGGGGCGTTAAAGAAGTAGGACAATAGTCTCCAGATGTGGCGCTCTCCAGGACCCGCTCAGGGACCTCGGGTAATCTGAATTGCTCAGCGCATAATGGAGATCATCAAATATTGTTTTCAGTTCTTGCTTTATTGTATTTGATCTAGTTTTATTTTGGTAGCAAAAATGTTATTCACACTGCGTTTCCTCTTTTAATTTCCTGTAGCAACTCTGATAGACGTCTTTAAAGAAAATAAAAAGAAATGCTGCTGGAAATGCCCAATCATCAGAAGCACACAAAGCGTCACAATAAAAATGTTTGCTGGGGTTTATGTTTGTTTCTAATGTGACACATCAGAGCTCTGAACTGTATACAGCTCCATGAAGTGTGGTACCTGGATGGCATTACCTTAGGGCAACTGTTGCTGTGATTTGGTGATGTATATAAATAAAATGGTATTGAAGTGAAAATTGAATGTCTGATCATGCTCAGAGCCTAAAGCAGAAAAGAAGATGGGGGGGGTTAAACACCAAGCTGATGCCCATGTTCTGATATTCATGGTCTCTGATAATCTCTGACTGGGCTTTTTAAATTTTGTTAAGCCAGCGAACAGAGTAAGCCTGGATATGTTGATCTTCCCTCGTAGACACACCCACTTGTTCTTTTGTTGTTCAGGATCAGCTGCAGCAGAAGATCGTGTGTCCCGGTGTGGTCACTTGTCTTTCTGCTTCACCTAATGGACTCTTTCTTGCTGCTGGAGTCGCTGAGGCCATTTACCTGTGGGAGGTGAGTCTATTCAAGCTCCGATTGGCTGAATGTAATTTATTAATTTTTAAGATCCTGTTTAGCCTGTGCTGTACGACTCAATAGGCAGACAGCATGATGCAAATCACAAGTTCTTTCAGTAACTCTACTGATGTGAAGTTACTGTTCAGCAGCATTCATTCATCCTGGTCACTCATCAATCAAGCGGTCAGTAAGCAATCTGCCCTTTGATGAATGGGATTTCACCAGTCTGTGACCAAGCTGGTGACCAGTGTGATGAGGAAGTGCCAGGCTGTTGTGGCTCTGTGTGGTTTGTACAGATGCTCGTGAGGCCCCTGATTGTTCAGTTCAGTAAATAAACTGTTAAACATGTCTTGTTTCTTCAGACTTCAATCATCCGATCCAATATATGTTACACAAAAGAGAGTCAATAGCAGCTGTTTAGCATTGGCAGAGAAGATTTGGTTTGTCATGGGTACAGCCCACATAACTGAACTCTGTTGCTCAACCCACGAATACCTTTTCTCTACAAATGTGGCACCATTTAAAAAACAAAACACAGACTTTCCAATATTACAGGAACAGTTGTTACCAAAAAGAAAATATTAACCAAACAAAGTTTAGAATACATCCATCCATCTGTTTCACTCTTATTTAATTTAGTCTTGCTGGGGGAGGAGATTATCTGAGCTATAGGTGACACCAGGTACACATTGACAGGTCTCCAGTTTATCACAGGGTTAACATAGAGACGGATCAGCACTCAGGCTCAGTCAGGACTTGGACTGGGGAAGGAACTCTGAGAACCAGGAGAGAACCCACACAAGAATAAGAAGCACAACTACCCACATTCGTGTGGAGAACAGATTCTCATATTCTTGTGTTCTCTGAAGAACTAACAGATAAAGTTAATCTGAACAAAAAACACGTCTTTAAGCATCTCCAGGTGTTTAACATAAAAGCTCATTATTGACTTACTGACACCACAAAAAGCTGCTTAGATGATGCTGACAGAGGAGTTTAAGAAAGAGCATCACCATCTCAGAGCTCCTCAGCTGTTTCCATCCTGTTCATCAGAGAGGAAACAGTAGAAGCTGAATGCATGGAGGAGGGTTTGGAAAGTGAAATGTGAACACAGGATTGGAGATCAGCTCGTGCTGTGCTAAGACTAACTCACTAAAACTGGTTCATGAGAACATCTGGACCTCCTGCAGGTTCAATGTTAGAATAAAGCTCCAGCAGACATATGGAGGTGATCAGAGGCTGAAGGAGCTGATTGGAATGAGGATTCAAACATTTCAGGAAGAGCTTAGAGAGACAGTTCTTCCTTTTATGTTTTTGTCGTTTTTGGGGGGGGGGGTTTGTCTCTTTGTTCAGGTTTGTTTACTTTGTTTTCTCACTGATCAGGTGTGCACAGGTAAACTGCTGTCTGTCCTCAGTCGTCACTATCAGGACGTCACCTGTCTGAAGTTCACTGATGACAGCAGCCATTTTGTTTCTGGTGGAAAAGACAACCTGGCTCTGGTGTGGAGTCTGTCAAGGTGAGACATACCTGAAAACACATCTGGAGCGTTCTGTAGCTTTTAATCAGGAGTAAGGTATTTCATGACAAGAAGACTAATGTGAAGTCAGCCAGGAGAGAGGCGCAGTGTCCAGCAGGTGCAGCTTTAGCTGTGTGTGTGTTTTATAAAATTCAGACTTGCCTGGTAAGGTCGGCGCGTCACCTGTGACTCTGAGATGTGCCAGACGGATCTCTGACTCACTTACTCTGTTCACTGTGTTTCAGTGTTGTCCAACTGGATGTAAGCCACGCCCCTGAGCCTCGCCACATCATGTCTCGTCACTCTCTGCCAATCACAGACCTGCACTGCGGCCTGATGGGAGCTCAGGCTCGAGTCGCCACCGCCTCCTTAGACCAGACAGTGAAGGTGAGTTTGTGCACCTCTGCTCATGTCACTCAGCGATCCAGACAGCTGTGACCCAGGTAAAGCGGGCAGCTGATGATCTTCATCTCACCATAATCAAGAACAGGAGTTAGCGTGGTATTGAGGAGGAAGCTTACTTCGTTTAGTTTCTCTAAACAAGTTGGTGTCTTGAAACTGTCTGTGTCTGCAGTTCATGTAATAATGGGTTAAATCATACCAATCAGAGCTCAGCACAGTAAAATATCAGTCATCACAGTCTTAGGGTTTGTTTCTGCTAATTGTCTAGGTATGGGAGCTGTCCTCAGGCGAGCTACTCCTCTCGATCCTCTTTGATGTGGAGATCATGTCTGTGACCTTTGACCCTGCTGAGTACTTCGTGTTCTGTGGAGGAAGTGATGGAAATATTTTCCAAGTGTCTCTGTGCAGCCAGGTGAGTCTGTCTCATTTTCTCACCCAATCATGTTTTGACTCCTCCCAGCTTTAAGGGGAGACGATAAAGTTTACCTGTTTGAACTGTTTGCAGAGTCTCGGTCGGGAAAAGTCGTTCCAGTCGGATGGCGAGGGGAATCAGGTGTTTAAAGGTCACAGGTGAGACAGCCGCTGGCGTTTGTTTGCAGGAATATGGTCGTGTGTGTGCACGAAAACCAGCTTTCTTTTTTCTTCTTTTCAAAATAAAGTCTCACGCTAGAAGCTTTGATGAACCGTTTTTACCTTTTTGTTTAATAGTGAGAAAAAACTGTGTGGACATTAAAGCTGGTGGGCCTAAATGTCACGCCACAAGTTCTTAGAATACGAGGGGGAACACGTGTATCAGAAACCCAGGGAGGAGAGACTGAGCGGGTCTTAATCACACGCAGTTTAGTCCCCGAGGAGGAGACCAGGAATAAATAAACACAATTCTTTTGAACAACTTTTGCAATAAGATGTTCTTTGTACATTAAATCCCGCCCAGTGCCGCGATAAAATTGTCCTACAACCTAAGACAAATGTTCCTTATATGTACAAAGAGAGAGGAATTCCTCTTCTGATTTTTGGATCACGCCAGCCTAGTTTCAGGAGGACGAGGAGAAACTTCCATCTCCGTCCTGTCTCTCTATCAGGCTCGTCACATCACAACCCAGCTGCGCTCCGCACTTGAGTCTCTTGCTAGCTGCTACTTCCCTCGTGGCACCGCCCTGTAAACAGACAGACACTGGACAGAAACGTCATCCGTGAAGCTGGCCTGGCTAATAGCCACGGTGACCCTCCCCCAACACGGCTGCACCCGGCAAACAACATTGGAAGCCGTTTCACGTGGCGATCCGGTAGCATGTCCTTCTCTCCCACGCCTGGTTCCTCCTTCCTCTCGAGCCTGTGCCTGTCCTTTTTCTTTTAACAAGTCTGTTCGACCGCTGATAGGCCACCTCAGGGCCCACCCACACCTCCACAGATGCAACCATTCCACAGTGGATTATAACAACATTATGCAAAACACAAAAATGATGCAAATAACATCAATACTACACATACAAATAAACGCTAAAATCAGAATAAAACGTAGCATAAAACAAACACAAATTTCCACTGTGTGACAAGATGGAAATTTGTCTGTAAAGATTTATATCAGCAGATAGCCCTGGGTCATTTCCTGTTCCTTTTGCAGCAAAAGTCTTGTTCACTGAAAGCAGAGGGTGAAAATCTGTAGAAAGGACGGGATTGCTTCAATGAGTTTAATCTGACACCAACCATTTCTCTGTGGCGGTGACAGGAAGTGCGAGTATTTTCATGTGTGTGGAACAAATTGTGTTTCCGGTACGGTGCGAGGAGCGGCGCTGGTGATCACGTCGAGCGTTTGGAGGTCAGCGAGTCCACCGACAATTAACCTTCATCGTCTGTAACAGTCACGACGTTTAAGCACAAAGTTAGAACAAGTGGGGCGGGGCTTCAGACGGAGTGTGGCTGGGGCCTAATATGAGTAGCAGAAAATTAAGAAACTTCATGTGTTGTACAAACAGTTTTATCTCCATGTTTGAAAATAAATGAATAACGTGTAGACCGTCAACAGGATATGACCATGCCAGGCGACCAGTTCTTTATCACAGCAGAGTATTGTCCACGTTTTCACGGTGCTTCTCGTCAGACTTGTGGGAGTCTGCTTGGGCTGAGGTGTGACATCACGGCGATAAATGGTGGTGGGCTGTCTCTTCATTAATTCCAAGCTCGCCAAGCAGTGGGTGTGGTAGGAAATATGAACGACCATAAACTGAAAACAGGTGTGGGGAAAACGACACGTGTGATGAAGAGCTCTTGTCTCCATCGGTGAAGTAATCCAGATGGTAGTGAATAACACACGTCAGAGGAAGCCCTTCTAACAGGTGTTTACTGTGGATTAACTTCAATGATCAAGGTTCAGGATGATTGTTGATTAGGGTTTATTAACTGTATTGATCGTGGTTGTGTGTTCTCCTCAGGAACATGGTGACGTGTCTCTCAGTGTCGATGGACGGGACTCTGCTGCTGTCAGGGTCACACGATGAAACGGTTAGACTGTGGGACATTCAGAGCAAACAGAGCATCCGCTGCCTCACACACAAAGGTAAGTCCCGCACCGTGTGACATCATCAGGGTTGAGAGTTTTTCTATCTGTGCTGCCTTGCTCAAAAGAAATCTCAGCTTGAGATCTACTTCTGGTTACATGTGGGTCAATGGAAGCTGCACTTTTAAGCTATCACCTCAGGGAGGTGCTGTTTAATTGCCTCCTCCTCAGCTGCTGCTGGGTTATTAATGAGTGGTGACGCTGGCGGCGCTGTCTCCTCCTCTGGTGTCTGCTTGATGATGAGCGGCGGTGTGGTTCTGACAGGAACACGAGAAGGGACCTCCCCGCCGTGATCGTGACTGACATTTTGTAATTAACCAAATCCTCCGCGCCAAATTCGTCTCACTTCAAACGGCCGTCAGCGACCGTAATCCCTGCTTTGGCCGGATGCGCGGCTCACCCTCCCCCCCTCCCGGTCACGTTTCTGCTCACAAAGAGCCAGAGTGAATTTAAAGAGAAAGCTTCATCCTCCATGATGACAACGCCTCAAAAGGATTCGTCTCAGCAGAGCAGATTCAGCTCCTCACAAAAAGGCGAGAGGAGGTGCTCGCTCTCAGCCCGTCTGATGGTTTTACCTGACGTGTGCAGAGTCGGACTCATCAGCGTGATGAAACGCCATAGAACATAATTCCTGCCATCTCAAACCTCACCTGCTGCTGAAGAATTTTTAACCTGGCTTCACTAAACATGACCAATGTGCTCCCCTCAGCACTGGTCTATGAGGAAACCAGTGTCAGACAGGTAGCGCTGCAGGTATGTCACAGGTGGAGCAAACCTGAAATAATCTTAGGATTTTGAGTTGAATCCAGGCTGAAGCTGAGCCTTTTTAACTGAGTGAAGTGAAGAACGATCAGTGTGACATCATAGTGATGTCACTGATTACCATGCAGATGTTTGTCTGTAGGCATCATGCTGACGACCTTCACAGAAACCATCGCCCTCTGTTGGGCACAGTCAACGGGCGAGAGGTGGGATGCACCTGGATAGGTTGCTGTCTATCACTTTGTTAAAAATGTAAACTCACATGGCTCCAGGACCCTGGAGCACCCAGGAAGACCACAGGAACAGAAGGCGGTCCTCAGACATTTCCTCGCCATTTTTAATCAGTTATTTTGTTTCATTTGATTATGGTGAGAACAATGATGCGTCACAGGAAGTAGATCATTTGATGGTTGGGTTTGACTGAGGCAAGTCGGTGCAGAAGTCTCGGATCTGAGATGCTGTGATTGGCTCAGCATCACGTGATCCTCAGAGACGTCATTTGAGATCCATCTACAGGTGCTAAGCTCAGAGGAGACGCTGCATCCCATCACTGTTATCGAACACGTGTGTGTGCGCGCGATTGATTATCTGAGCTGCTGTGAAATAAACCAAATAAAGTGAGAGGTTCATGAAGAGTTCATGAGAAGCGAGGAGGGGGAGGTGTGCATCAGTCCGAGTTCTCCTGCCTCCTCCGCCGTTTCTCAGCGTGTCAGATCTGCGACTGTTATAAAGAAACATCCATCTGACAGCAGAGCACCGCTCCTGCAGGCGACGAGGCGAGACCACCTCTCTCTGCTGCCGCCACCTCATCTCAGGACTCATTACCCCGAGAGGCTGCGGGGAAACACTGACAGCTCTGAGGGCCCCTGAACACATCGTACTAGAATAAAAAACACAGTGACACTTGAACACACCATGCTGCATTGAACCGTACACCTGAGCGTGACAGCATTTTCTGACAAACATCAGTGGCTCAGTTGAGTTGTCTTCTGCTCGGACTTTTCAGTACAAAGTTTCACTCCTCGGGGATTTTATTTATGATGTAAGAGCAAGGACACCCTTCCGAGAGAAACCCTTAAACGATGTGTTAAAACGGAGCCTGCGGGTCCCCTAGAGATTTACAGTTTTTAATTAAATAACTGACCATCAGCACCAGTTATTATTATCATTCCACCTAAATTTTGATGGCTCAGTTGAGTTGTCTTTGTGGCGTTCCTGCAAACTGCAGGTTTTCTTTAAATTTTTTCAACTATTAAACATGAAGCTGCCAACTCCATGGCGTGGCAAGCTGTCCATTCATGTGGCTGTAGGTTACTGTTGTAGTCGCCAGGTATTTCCTAATGTCATAGATCAGCTGTTTGGACGGTGTCCTTGGTGTGACGCGTCAGAGTCGCTTCCTGATGTGTTCTCTAATTGAGCTGCTGGATTTTTGTTGTTCAACTAAAAAGGAACTTTTGGGAAGAGCTGGTGGGTGGGATTAGTGTGATGGCCATACAGGAAGGCTATTGCGAGGCAGCCCATCTGCAGTGCTGACATTTAACTGCTGCTTTTACCTCCCAGAGATTCATCTTCACTACAATCCTGAGACTTTTTGCTGAGACAAATCATCAGCAGCTGAATTATGATCAGAGTCTGTAAGAGAACCACAGACAGGAAGCTGACTCGCAGAAGAAAGGAATTATCACGATAGAGATAAGATAAATGATTTCTGTGACATCGCAAAACATGGAAACTTTCATTTCAGCAGCCCACATTTGCCTGACAGTTTCAATGATTCTCTTTTATGTTTGATAGTATTAAATTAAATGCAATGATCTCAGGAGTATCTCAGTAAACAAACGGCATTCAATGAAAACTTGATGAAGACTCACCACCTGCAGTTATCAGTGCTACTGATGGGGGGGGCGCTGTGCTCAGATGAAAGAATCTGACAGTTTTTAAGATGAGCTAAATTATGTTAGCAACTAATCTGCATACTTGCGTTACATTAACATCCACACTCAGTAAAATTAGGCTTTGGTAAAGCTTTGACAGGTGGCTAGCTGTCTGCAATCAAAGAGGCCATGCCCCCAATAATGCAAACAGTTGTTTTCTAAAAACATTCTTCACCTGTACAGTTGTTGTGAAAAGAGAAATTATCTTTAGAGGCTAAACCAGTTTTTCTATCTGGTTGTAAACTTGTTAATTTTAACATAGAGATAGATTCACTGCTGCCTCTGCTGGACGGTAGATGAACTGCAGATTTATGGTATAAAAAAAACCCAAAAAACTTTCCTTCAGCTCATGAAGCAGTTGATGTGATAAGTGTCTTTCATAGGTTTGTTTAGTGCAGGGGTCTCAAAGTGGCGGCCCGGGGGCTGCCACTTTGTATTGTTGAATACAAACAAAATGATAGCAGAAGTGCTGCCATGTGTGTGGCCAGAAAGAGAGGACCAATGTGTTTATTTGGTAGTTAAATGAAAGGCTTCAGTTAGTTAAGAGGGAGTAAAAAAATTGTGTTGTTATACAGTATTTGAAATAAAAAACAAACAAAACATTTTCTGAAATATTTGTGGATTTGTTTCTTGTTTGGTTTTTTGTACTACTTGAACACTAAAGTGGCCCTCCAATGAGATGACAGTGCCAGGATTGGCCCATGGCTCATTTAAGTTTGAGACCCCTGGTTTAGTGGAATATCGATAAAACATCCAGGTGAGAGGCTCCGAACCAGCTGAGGGTGTTTCCTCAGAGTGTCTGCAGTGTGTTGGCAGCCCTTCAGCCTCTAACACACTCAGCCTGATTTATCTGTCGTTCTGGACCACATTTGGACCATTAGTGTAATTCCAGCAGCCGGAGCCAAGCAGACGATCAATATGTGTAATTGAGTGGGGGATAATTAGCCCGTTTCTATTAGCACAACAAGCAGGAATTCTGCTCGGACTTTTCAGTATAAACCTCCTGAGTTTCACTGCTCGGGGATTTTATTTATGATGTAAGAGTGAGGACATCCTTCTGAGAGAAACCCTTAAACTATGTGTTAAAACAGAGCCTGCGGGTCCCCTAGAGATTTACAGTTTTTAATTAAATAACTGAGCATCAGCACCAGTTATTCTTATTATCATTCCACCTACATTTTGATGTTTAACTTTCCCTCAGCTTTGAACCCCCCTTTGCCTTTATTTTACTGGGAGGACATCTCAGATAAAAACCCTTTCTTTATCATAGACACGTCATTCAAAGTTTAAATGACTAACAGGTGTTACAGGAAGTGTGCTAGACTTTTTAAAACTCATCAGGGACTGTAAGTGATGCCAGTTTTTATGGCTTTTCAAAATAAAATCTCATAAATATCAGAATGACCCTTCAGTAAGTGGCAGCAGTCATGCAGAGACTCAGTGGTAGACACACACATTTACTTTGTTTCACCTTGAATCATTGTATCATTGACTTTCATATAAAAGCTCAAAATATTTAAGCTGCTTTTTAAGGTTTATAAACACTTTCATTTTGAAATCTATGTCTGAGCTTCTTTCAGCTCACCTGCAAGGTGACCTGGCGGTCATTATGTTTTGCTGGTGGAGTTTCTCACCCTGAGCATAGTCTCTCAGGGATTGGTTTTATTGAGGAGCGGCAGCTTAGTTGAAATCAGATGAGCTATCAGCTGCATCTGACCGAGGCACTGACATGCCTGGGGACTGACCCCCAGGTCAGACTGCAGGTATAAACCTGGTTCAGCAACTGCTTTTATACTTATTGATCTGGTGTTGGAATCGCCTGCTCTGGCTGATCGATGAGCCAGAGCAGTGTTTGAAAGTATTTTGATCACAAACTTTAGAGTATTAAACATTTAGCGTCATGCTAACCTAGGAGCCAATCAAACAGCTTATTCCATATTTTAAATTGGCACATTATGTGTCTGGTGCTCTAGGTCAAAGATGAAGCTGCTGGCTCTCAGGAGGCTGTAGAAGTTTAACCTGCAGGCAAAAGCGTCTTGAACTTTATTTTTGAACATCTGAAGCTGGGGCAGCATGCTGCATGCATCAGAGTTTAAGGAGGTGGGCGTGGCTCAACTCCTCATGGGAAACCTTCAGGTGAACAGACTCTGAGTCGTGGTCACACGGCCGTGGTCTTCAGTCTGCTGTAAACTGTTTTCTGAGCAGATAAAACATCTTCAGCAGCTGCTGCAGTCGGACCAGTTTCACATTAACCTTTGAAAGACGCTGCCGCCAGCTGGTCTCACAGCGAGGAGCACGGTGAAGCGGCTGCTAGAGGTGAAGCTGCTACCTGAGTACAGGTAATAAAAAAAGCTGTTTAGAGTGAACAGGTGAGGTCAGCTCGCTTGTTTCGTTCTGTGTGTAAATGAGCCACTTCCTGTTTCGGGGCTCAGGCGTGTCAGTCAGCTCAGATGCTTTGTCGTCTCCCGAGCGATTTGTCATCCTTCAGACTCTTAAACAGATCCTCGAGCTAATCTCAGGGAAATTAATTTTAAAAGTCCCCAGACAGGAAGTTAGAGTGACAGTGAGCTGAGGCGCTGAAGGCGGAGTGAATACAGAGCGGTGAGGTGGAGGTGCAGACGGCTGTTATAGAGGGCTGTTATGGAGGGCTGAAGGTGGAGGCAGATGCAGTAAATCCGCTCCCACGCGCTGCGGTTTGGAGCTTCTGTTGGTGTGAAATGAGTCTGGCAGCGTGTCAGCGTGGCGGCAGATTTACTGATGGAGCACGCCTCGCTCAGAGCCGCTCCTTTTGATTGGCTGCAAGTGAAGGAAGCAGAGGAGATTAAAGGTGCCATTCCAATTCCTGTGTTTGTCCTGACCTGATTGGCTGTTGCAGCTGATGGACGAGCGTTGATGACAGGTTGATGAGTTGCAGTGGGACAGTTTCTCAGAGGACCTGTGGTCACCGTGGTTACAGATGGCACTTTAAACTTGTTCTCTCACTCTCTCTCACGCACACACACAGTGTCCTTGTCTCAATCAGCAGCCAGAGGAATCTTCATAGGTGGAGGAGAGCCACCATGGACCTTGTTATTTAACCTTTGACCGCTGAATGTTTTGACCTCAGTTGTTTTTGCCAGTGATGATGATTGGATTATTTAACTGCTTCACGGCGGGCCCTGACTGGACATTGGTCTGGAATATTCCATGATTTTCATTCATCTGCGCCACATTTCAGAGACATTTACGACTGACAGAACGCGCTCGGGTTAATCACACGCAGATCCTCCTGTTTCCATTCTTCCCACAAAACACCTGAACGTGTTTGTGCAGACCGCAGCTGTCTGAGGGACTGACACAGCGATCGCGGCAAAATTAGCCGAGGTCTGAAAACTTGAGGTCAGACATGCCTGACAGAGAACCTGTCACAGGTAGCGTTCATCAGGACCAAACACATCAGTGGTGTGATTTACCTGGTGCTAATCCGAATCGTGATGAATTTCGGGATCTTAATAATCCGTCTGCTTCATGAGTCTCATTGATAAATGATCATGTAGGTCATGTGGCCTGGCAGCTTTTAGGAACAAAGTGAGCTTGCCCCTGCTGCAGAGCGCAGAAGCAGTCATGTGTTATTGAGGTGATCGCCATCTGTTGATGTCCATCAGCTCCTCCTAATGATGATTGAGTGCAGCAGCTTGAATATTTTACTGATGAACCAGAAGAACTTTAATATTTCACACGAGTTTCTCTGAATGTCCTTCACAACTCAGACACTTTGCTCTATTTCAGTTTTTAATACTCTTCATTTGTAGAACACCAAATCAAAGGCACCTGTGATGGAACGTCAAGTGACAGTGGACAGCTTCTTCTCCTCTCCTCCTTTCTCATGCTCCTTCAGGGAAGGATGGTCTGCCTCCATCTTCCCTCTCCAGCATCCTCTTCTGTCACACGGGCCAAGGCCTTTGTGACAGAAGAGGTTTGTTTGGGTGTGATCAAAAACTGATGGTCGTCAGTACGTATTGGTTATGGGTCAACACATGTTGATATTGTGTTAGTCCCAGAGGAGCTGACATACAGTATGCAATCAGGTGGTGGAGGTGAAGTCCTGGTCTGTCAATGAGGCTGTGTGTAAAAGTTTAAGCTAACTTCAGGCAGGCACATCTGATGAGGTTGATGTAATGAATGTTTGATGGTCAGATGGTCAGGTCAGGCCCACTCGTCTCTTCTTGTTCTGTTCTGGTGCTCGAGAGAGGTTCTGTCAGTGTGCCGAATGAGGAAACACTGCAGGACAATTAAGGTTTTATCAGCCGAAGGAGCTGCTGAGGGCAGACCAACGAACATCAGTAGATAAGAACTGAGCACGTGCAGGAAACCAACAGTGCGTTTTTGTTTATGTTGAAGCACAGTACGTATTACTCCGCGAGGCTCCTGCCTACGATAGCCGTAATGCTCCGACAATCCATCAAGCAGTGCGACTTCGTAGCTTAGCAAAGTCGTACTAAAACATTTGACAGATTTTTGAGCGCCGTGTACCACAGAAAATCGTTTTGAGGTCAGTAAACACAACCAGAATTCATACGAGGGCACACGGGATTATAAGGGGCACTGGCGATTTTCAGAAAAATCAAAGGATTGATTTCAAGTGTGCCATATTTTCCAAAAAACACGGTAATAACGACGGCCTGCTTGCATGCTCTACCAAAAATAGTACTTTGTTGTTTATCTGACGGACAAAAGCTAAACCAGTGGTGTGGAACGTTCCACACCACTGAAGTTGCAGCATTTTTACAAACCAATTCTGTTTCATCTGTTTCATTCAACGATCCACTTTCGCCCTTCTCATTCTCTGTTGCCGGCACGCTTTTTCCGCCATGTGCGTATGAAAACAAAGGCACTGCGCATGGGCTTTTTACCCATATTCTATCGTGATATTTCATTTTCTTATCGTTGCCCGACATTTTACCGGTATTACCGTGAACGGTATGATATGGCCCAGCCCTAGTTGTTACCTTATGTCTGCCGCTAGGGGTCACCTTTTTTGTTTTATGGTATGGTGTGTTTATGTGAATGTATTTAAGGT